AACAAACTCATAGATACAGAGAATATATATATATATATATATATATATATACACTGTGTGTATATATATATATATATATATATATATATGTATGTATGTATAATATGCAAATCAATTGGATGGCAGATCGCTATGACATGCACTGACCACTAGGGGGCTTTCCCAGTCCTCAGGCTCCCATCACCAGATGGGGAATTGGCCCTGATTGCAGGCCAGGCCAAGGGACCCCACCCATACACGAATTTCATGCTCTGGGTCTCTAGTAAACTGATGAAAAAAAACCTCCTAGATATAGATAGGAAGGAGCTTGGGAGGCTAGGTGAAAAAGGGAGAGGGATTAAGGAGTACAAATCAGCAGTTATGAAAGAGTCATGGCTTTAAAGTGCAACATACGGAATATAGTCAATAATATTGTAATAACTATGTGTGGTGCCAGGTGGGTACTAGATTTATTGGAGGGGTCAGTTTGTAATTATATAAATGTATAATCTAGGCTGTACACCTGATACCAATATAATACTACTAGAGCAGTGTTTCCCAACCTTCTCTCATGATGAGAATCACCTGGTGGAGTTGTTAAAACAGATTCCCGGATCCCAACTAAGAAGTGCTAAACTAGAATTTTTGGGAACATATAGGTAAAATTGTATACTTAACTAGTGCTCTAAGACAGATTTTATATACAGAGCACTAAGTTAGGTATGCAATTTTACCTATATGTTCTCAAAAATTCTAGTTTAGCACTTCTTAGTTGGGATCCGGGAATCTGTGTCTTAACAACTCCACCAGGTGATTCTCATCATGAGAGAAGGTTGGGAAACACTGTACTAGAGGGCCAGAGCACAAGTTCAAGGGTAAGGTCCCTACACCTGGCCAGCAACAGGGCTAATGGGGCCTTCCTTAGTTCCTGAGGGTGAGCAGTGGAACTCCCAAGGGGATAATTTGCATATGAGCCTTTTATTATATAGGAGCATATGTTGATGGTAATGGGGGGGCGGGGGAGGAGTCAGGCTTTCAATAGTCTGGCTTGTGCCTATTTTGATTTTTTTTTTTAAACTTACTGATTTGATAGCGAACTATCAATTTGTTGTCCCACTGACTTACGCCTCATCGGCTGATTCCTGTGAGCTCCCTGACCAGGGAGGACCCACAACGGGCTAAGGGCCAGGCCGAGCTGCTTCACTGTGGATGTGTCACTGAGAAAAGCAGTCTGACTTCCTTTCCCCCAGGCCCCGCAGTCCACGCTGAGCTAGAAGAGGGCTCGGTGCGTCCCCTAAGGGCTGCTATTCTTGCTTAGCTGGAGGGGCACCCACTGTTTTCCTCGCTGACCCCGTGGATGAGGGCGGCTACACTCCCAAACGTGAGGCCCCCCAGGCCTCCCCATGACACTCTGGGCTCTCACCGCAATCCCCGGTTTAGGACAAAGTTTTAGGACAAACAACCCCAAGAGCTCAGAATGCACCCCAAGCGGAGCTCACCCCGAGGGGAACTCACCGAGAGGCGCGCGGCAGGCAGGGCTCCGTGGGTCCTCCACCTGGGCCGGGCGCCCGAACCCCGCACCGTCTTCCCGCCAGAGCTTTCCGTGGACAGAACTAAGACAGTTCAGTAACAGGTGCGATGCCCGTTACTCCGGAGGAAGCAGCCCGGGGCTGGGGAGCCCGAGCCCGCAGGCCGGAGCCCGGTCCTGGGTGCCGGCGGGAGAGGAAGCGCCGTGCGCGCGGGGGGTGCGGGCCCGGGGAGCGGAGGAGCGGGGTTGGCGGCCAGACGCCCGCGTCCGGGCCCGGGAACCGCCTGCAGCTGAGCTGGCCGCACAGGTGCGCCTGCAGGTCCCACCGGGCTGGGTGCGGGCTCAGATCCATGGCCCTGGAATCTGAGTTACCTTCTTGGAGGTTAATTGGTGTAAACAGGCCTTTACCTTCCTGAATTGCCCAAAGCAGGGTTCTGGCAGCTCTCCTTCTCCCTTTGTAGAAATCCAAGCTTGTGTCAGCTGAGCTTGATAATAGATACCAGAGAACGAGCCTCAGCAGGCCTCTCATTGCTGGGGGCAAATTAGAAGCACCTCAAAACTGTAAAACGTTTCAAAACCTGTTCAGGTTTTACTGCATTCTGTGGCACCAGCGCGGCCCGGCTCCCTCTCAGAAGCTCCCATGTAACTGGCCGCCCAGCGCCTGGAGCAGCAGCTGTAGTTCGTTTGCTTTCTAAAGCCTCAGGTGATTCTGGTGTTTGTGATTCCTGGCCATCAAGGTGGGGAGGACGGCGGGATCAAAATCCGCAAGATTACGCGTTGAAATAGAAGGCGGATTATTCGGTGAGATCTGTTTGTGACCCTGCCAGGCACAGAGGAGACTGACAGACCATGAGCCTTCCTCTGGCACAGGTAGTTTTGGAACTTTGTCAGTAAATTTCAGGACCTCTTGGACCTGTTAGCAGAGCCAGTGCTGAGGGTCACCAGCTGTGGCTGTGCAGGCTGTGGCCTCCCAAAGGCTTCTGCGGGAGCCGAGAATGGAATCCGCCCTCCCTCCTCGCCCCCCCCCCCACACACACACCACCCCTTCTCTAACCAAACCCTGAAGTGACCTCCACCTTAACACGATGGCAAAGACACCAGAGGGCCAGTGGGGGCCCTGCTGTGCGGGGGGATGTCAGAAGCTGCCCACCGCCTCTTCCCAGTTTACAGGGTGCTCCCTTAGCAAATAGGACCTTCAAGTAAGAGGCTTCCTTCCCTGTGCAAAATAAGGGGAGAGATTCACTGGCCCTCCCTCTTTGTCAGAATACCTACCTTAGCAAACGTATAAATACAGCTGTTTTCTCAGGCTCGTTGAAATGTATCTTGTTAGAAACTAGATAAGCCCTGTCAGCTTTATGTAAAAATAGGAATGTCTTCCTCCAAGACCTGGGAGCCACCTCTTTACAAGACGGGCATGGGGGGCGGCTCTGTGTCTGGGGACACAGGAGGCTGGCTCCAGGCTGTGGCAGGACTTCCCGTCATGAGGACAGCCTGTCCCCCCGCCCTCTGGTTGAAGTTCATGCGTCGTCTCCCCAGTTAACAGGTTACGTTAGGAAGAGCTGTGTGTAACTAATGGTGCCGTCGGGTTCTCTTCGTTTGCAACTAGTTATTGTTTGAGAACTTAGATGCGATGGGCCGCATCTGTTTGGCTCTAGAAAGGGTTGAGAGTTCTTTCTGTTTTTGCAATCAACCCCTTGGCCACGTGCCTGCGAGAGGCATCATGCTCTGACTTAATGCTCGGTGCATAGAAGTGTTTTCTTCTGCCGTTACCTTTGTGGAGAGGATTTCTGTGCTGAAAGATGTGTGTGTGTGTGTTAAATTATATTTTTACAGCAGCACTTTCATCCTTCATTCTGAAGTGACTGTTTATTACTCACACCTTCCAGATCCATGCAAAGAAGTACTTTAGGTAAACAGGTGGGGTGGCTTGCTTTGTTATATATTTTTAAACTCCTCGCTGGAAGGTGTTTTGATTTTAGAAGAAGTGAAAGCAAAATATTGATGTGAGAAACATCCGTTGGTTGCCTTTCCTATCAGCTCCGACCGGGTTTTGAACCCACAGCCCAGACATGTGCCCTGACCAGGAAGCAAACCCACAACTTTTCGGTGTTGGGTCCACAGTCCAGCTAATGGAGCCACCCAGCCAGGGCAAGGCATATAGATGTTTTTGTTATAAACCTCCTCCCTTCTACCCAGCATCTACCATAAAAGTTAAAGTAATTGGAAATAGTGATGTTACAAGAAGTTGAGGCTATGATTATAATTTTTAGACTTGTAGTCGAGTAATTACATGCCAGTCTGACGTGTTGAATAAGAAATATGAGTTAATGGCCGAGACCGGTTTGGCTCAATGGATAGAGTGTCGGCTTGGAGATTGAAGAGTCCCGGGTTCGATTCCGGTCAGGGGCATGTACCTTGGTTGCGGGCATATCCCCAGTGGGGGGTGTGCAAGAGGCAGCTGATCAATGACTCTCTCTCATCGATGTTTCTAACTCTCTCTCTCCCTTCCTCTCTGTACAAAATCAATAAAATATTAAAAAAAAAAAAAAGAAATATGAGTTAATGATTCCACTTCTTTAACAGAAAAAAGAAAAAGGAAGAGAGAGTTGTTTGGATTTTAATTTTGTATACACATTTTGTGACAGAAATTAATTTTTATAATCCAATCTGTATCTCTTTCTCTAAGTGGTTGCCTTCATTACTTTTCATTGTAAGAAAATGTATCAAAATAATACATATACATAGTTGTTGGGTTTTTTTTTAAGCCAAATAATTCTATGTAGCTTATAATGAAAAACAGCAGGGACTTATCCATCAAGGTTTCAGCATCAGGACTTAATCAGAGAAACAACACTAGCAATGCTATAGAATAAAGGAGCTGTCAGAGAGATGTTACCTGACACAATTGTGGGAACCTGTGCAAGAGTCTGTGCAAGGCTTTGCTTCTGCTTCTGGGCCCCAGGCCTAACATCAGCAGGACAGGCAGTCTGGAAGGGAAGGTACACTTGAGCTGGAGGAGAAAAAGGACTAACTTGAACCTGCACCAGTTTCTCCCTCTTGCCAAGCCTCCAACTTGGATGAGGCAGGAGCTGTTCCTCAGAGCTAAACCTGTGCCTGGCCCAGAAGCTGAGGAAGCCGAAAAATGTCACCTCTGAGTCATTTCCTAGAATTATTAAATGAATATATCAAAGGTAAAAATTATGATAAAAAAATACATATCTATCAACAAGTGAATCTAAAAATCAAGTGGATAAAAAGTCTAATGAACAGAATAAACTGGTGAATATAATATAATCAGGGGCATAGAAAGGGAGTGGACTGACAGTTCTTGGGGGAAAAGGGGTGTGGGAATGGGAATGTGGGAAGAGACCGGACAAAAATGGTGCACCTGTGGATGAGGACAGTGGGGGGGGGGGGACGGACGGACGGACGGACCAGGTGGAGGTATGGGGGTGGGGGGGAGAGGAACAACTAATCTAAATAATAAAGATTTATTTTAAAAATACATTTTAATACATTGTGGAAAATACATAGTGAAATATACATTGTATTAAAATGTGTTTTTTAAAACACATTTTAATACATTTAAAATACATTGAACATTAGCATTTAGATAGTTATTTACAATGGGATTTACAATCAATTTTACCATAATTTTTGTGAACAGAAAGATAACAGAGAGCTAACTATGGACATAAAACTATCTCCAGCTGCTTCTTTCTAACACACAAATGGTAACTGGGTATAAGGGGATAACGGTTAAAAATGCTACAGTTCAAAATCACTGATTAAATCAGGTCCTGACAAATTCTCCTGCGTTAAAAAATGCTAAGTCAGAAGAGAAGGCAAGTGTGTACAATCTCTTCTTCCCATCTTCATACGGTCGCACCCTGACTTAACTGAGTTGCACTTGAAGTAAACTGACACCTGAATTCTGGGGAATTTCATAAACAACAGGCCTTCTAAATCCACGGTACTGCTTTAAGCCCATTATTATGAGTTTACAGCAGGTGGTTTAACTTTGACTTTTTCAGATATTAATGCTGATGGTCTATTAAACCTTTATTTTTTAATTACAAATTTTTTTTTACAATTTCCAATTATAGTTGACCTATTAATCATTTTTACGACTAACAGTTGTTCTAATGGTAGTCAAGAAATGACCAAGTGGAGTACCTCAACTGTCAATGTTCCCGTGTGCTTTTAGTGAAGTTAACTGTCTGCATTATAAAATTTTATGGTTTCACTGAAAGGCTTGTTTTGACTGATAAGTGATAGTAAGATCAACAAAATGATTCTGAATCCCTCTTTGCTACAGAAGAATTAGATGCAAATTTGAATGGCCTGGGCTAATAAAATTATCCACCAATCACTTTTTTTCAGGTTAAAACAGCCAGCAATCTGCAATGGCACTTCCTATATAAAAGTCTGTGTAACTTTGTGACAAATAAACTGGTCATAGCTACATTTTATTGAGTTAAGTCCTTCATCAGAAATCCAAACCTTAATTCATATTTGTCCTTATAGAAAAATAAAATCCATTTTATGAGTTTCTAGAAATAAATTATGGATAAAAAAATAGACACTATGTTTCTAATAGTCCTTGGGAAGATACCCAATACAAGATTGTAACATTTAACTTCAAAATATGTTTAATTCTTTCCTATCCTTTTTTGTTTTCCAGTGACTAGTAATAAATAAACTAATTATTGTGTGGTAAGAAAAAACTTTTTAGTCATTTTTCCATCTAAGAATTTCATTAAATGAACATGTGACATATCTTGTAGTAGTATGAACAGACGACAACTGGAAATCCAGTTTTACTTTTTAAACTACAAATGGTTGGCAACTGTTTCCTTAATAGTTATTGCAGGAGTAGGTCCAACATGAGTCCATATATAGCCCTTTTCTGGTCTGGTGGGAATTGTGGGAAAGGGTGATGAAAGTGACTTGAAATATTCAGAGGGTGCATGACAAACAAACTCCAAGTATTCCATCTTCCTGGGAAGATCCTCCTCTGGTCCTAAAGGCGCCAATGGAAAGGTTAAACACATTTTGAACATAGGTATCATTTTCATAAAATGTTAAAATGCCTAGACACTAGGAGAAACCAGTCTGGTGGTACTTGACATTAGCCCTTGGAACATATATTACTATGAAGTTACTCATCATTTTTTTAAATTTTATTTTAACTGCTTAAGGAATATAGCATTCTCCCTGAAACAGTGACTTAATATAGAAAGGAACCTTAAAAAAATAATATTTAGCCTTACATAGTGATTATTATATGTCTGCGCTGTTCTTAGTACTGACATACACTCGGGCTGGCGGGCAGGCGCGCGCGTGTGTGTATGTGAGGCCCAGTGCATGTATTTGTGCATGGGTGGCGTCCAGCCAGCCTGGCCAGGGCGAGAGGACATGGGCAGTTGGCCAGCCTACCTACTAGTGGAACTCCTGGTCAAGGGGACAATTTGCATGTTAGCCTTTTATTATGTAGGATATACACTGAGTGGCCAGATTATTATGTATTCAGAGATAATAATCTGGCCACTCAGTGTATATCAATACATTGAATCCTCACAAAGCCCTCTGTGGTAGGCACTATCATTATTATTTCCATTTTACATATGGGGAAAATGAGATAAGAAGGATTAAGGAACTTGCCCGATATCACACAGCTAGTAAGTGTAGAGGCTACAAACCCAGACAGTCTGGCCCCCGAGTTTGTGCTCTGGCTTCTGAGGAAAAGAAGAGGAGGTGGGAGAGAAGCTGGAGTAAATTCTGTCATATCACTGCCTCTGCTGACAGTCCTATCCAATTGATCAGGTAATGAAAGTCTACCCTTATATATACTTACTAGAGGCTTGAAATTCATGCACTGGGGGTTGGGTCCCTCAGCATAGCCTGCACCCTCTCACCCGGGAGGGAGCCCTTGAGGAATGTCTGACTGACAGCTTAGGCCTGCTCACCGCGGAGGCAACAGAGGCTTCCGCCACCATGGCTGCGCTTGCCAGCCGTGAGCCTGGCTTCTGGCCGAGCGGTATTCCCCATGGGAGTGCAGTGACCATCAGGGGGCAGCTCCTGCATTAAGCATTTGCCCCCTGGTAGTCAGTGTGCACCATAGCAACTAGTCATTCCACCATCGGGCCAAACCTGGCTGACATTCCCCCAAGGCAGGCGTCTTCAAACTATGACCCATGGGCCACATGCGGCCCGCAGAGGAGTCTGATCCGGCCCGCCAGGTTTTTTGGGCAGTGAGCGCAGCCGAGGTGTTACAGTAGGAATTAGTAGTTCATATAGTCTGGCCCTCCAGCTCTCTGAGGGACCGTGATCTGGCCCCCACTTTAAAAAGTTTGAGGACGCCTGCCCCAAGGAGTCCTAGATGCACAGGTCAGGCCAAGGGACCCCATCAGCACACCATCAAGGTCGGGGAGGGACACTGAAGGTTGGCCAGCTGAGGAGGGACCATGGTAGGGCTCCAGGACATGTCCAGCCCATCTTGCTCAGTCCCAATCAGCCGGACATGAGCAGCAAGCTAACCTACCAGTTGGAGCGTCTGCCCCCTGGTGGTCAGTACACATCATAGTGGCTGGTTGACCAGCTGACTGGCCCCTAGTGGTCAGTGCATATCATACCAAGTGGTTGAGCAGCCTTAGCATATCATTAGCAATATTAGAGGCCCGGTGCATGAAATTTGTGCAAGTGTAGGTCCTCCTTCCCCTGGGTGCTGGACCAGCTTCCCTCTGCATCTGGGACCAGCCTTCCTTCCAGCCACCAACAGGCATCCAGGACCTGGGCTTCTCTCGCAGCCCCGGCTTCATCCGGAAGGACAGCTGCTCTAATTAGAATAGTATACTTTTATTATTATAGATTACGCTTTGGATGACTGGCTGGCTGGACACTTAGCATATTAAGCTTGTATTAAATAAGACTAGAGGCCTGGTGCACAAAATTCATGCATGGGGGAGAGGGGTCCGTCTGCCCAGCCTGCACCCTCTCCAATCTGGGACATCCTTCTCACAATCCAGGGCTGCTGGCTCCAACTGCTCGCCTGCCTCTGCCTGATTGCCCCTAACCGCTTCTGCCTGCCAGCCTGATCACCCCCTAACCACTCCCCTACCAGCCTGATTGATGCCTAACTGCTCCCCGATGGCCTGATTGTCCCTTAACTGCCCTCCCCTGCCAGTCTGGTCATCCCTAACTACCCTCCTCTGCCAGTCTGGTTGTCCCTAACTTCCTTCCCCTGCAGGCCTGGTCCCTCACAACTGCCCCTCCCTGCAGGCCTGGCCACCCCCCCCAACTGCCCTCCCCTATAGGCCTGGTACCCCCAACTGCCCTCCCATGCTGGTCTGATCTCCCCCAACTGCCCTTCTCTGCTGGCCTGGTCACACCTAACTGCCCTCCCTGCTGGCCTGGTCCTACCCAACTGCCCTCCCCTGCAGGCCTTGTCCCCCTACAACTGCCCTCCCCTATAGGCCTGTATCCCTCCCAACTGCCCTTGCTGGCCTGGTCTCCCCCAACTGCGCTCCTCTGCTGGCCTGATCACCCCTAACTGATCACCCCTAACTGCAGGCCATCTTGTGGTGGCCATCTTGTGTCTTGAAGTGATGGTCAATTTGCATATTATGCTTTTATTAGATAGGATAAGCAGAAAACTGGTCATATATCAAACTTGACATGCAGGAGACATTAACAGTGGAATATTATTTGTCTCTTAGTTCTCCCTAAAAAATGTTACTTTTTTTCCTCAGTGCAAAAGTAACCTATGCCAATTGCAGAAAAGTTACAAAGTTCAGAGTTACAGAACTCTGAATACTTTCAACCTTGAATTACTCAGTAACTTTTTGTGAGTCTATAGAAAGCACTGCTTATACCATTTCTTTTGGCAGTACTGAAATTAGTCAGAGTACAGTTGGCTGCATTTTCAATGATCAACAATGATGTTATAAAAGGTCTAGAACAAGCATGTCAAACTCGTGGCTCAGTCAATATAACAGTATGTAAGAAATGTTTTAATAAAAATTTCGTGACTTAATTTTTACAATATCCTGTTATACATAATTATTTATTATTTTTAAAATATATTTTATTGATTTTTTACAGAGAGGAAGGGAGAGGGATAGAGAGCTAGAAACATCGATGAAAGAGAAACATCTATCAGCTGACTCCTGCACACCCTCTATGGGGGATGTGCCCGCAACCAGTGTACATGCCCTTGACCAGAATTGAACCTGGGACCTTTCAGTCCACAGACCAATGCTCTATCCACTGAGCCAAACTGGTTTCGGCTTGTTATACATAATTATTAATAAAGAACTACAACATTCGCTAATGACTAATTACTATAATTGTGTTGCATTCATTACCCTTACGAGACTTATGCACAGATGTACCATTTCTCTCCACTAATACTATCAGCAAATATTTTAGCAGCCGACCGCCACATCATTAGTCTTGTACTGACTTATTTGGTGTGCACAACAGGAAATATTTCGCTTTTGGAGAACAAGAAAAATGGGTTTATTTTTGTTATACTTATTAATTTGTGCAGTTATTCAGTGTCTGATTAAGTTAATGTTCAAGAAAAAATATTTTTTTATTAAAATGTTCTATTATTTTAATGATGACTCATTTATTTCAGCCCTTTGTATTCAGCATGACTCTATTGAAATAAATCTATGTTTCTATGAAAATTGAAGCTTTTGTTTTTTTGCGGCCCACATAAACTTAAACCTTGTTTTATTAATTTTCTACAGAGAGGAAAGAAGAGGGATAGTCAGAAACATTGATGAGAGAGAAACATAGATCAGCAACCTCCTGCACACCTTCTACTGGGGATATGCCTGCAACCAAGGCACATGCCCTTGACCAGAATCAAACCTGGGACCCTTGAGTCTGCAGGCTGATGCTCTATCCACTGAGCCAAATTAGTTAGGGCTAAACTTACTTTATTTATTTGGCCCATGTTAGCCTTTGAGTTTGACATGCTTAGTCTATAGAATGATTATGTGTGACATGAAGAACGCATATTAAATATGTAAGATTGTAGAAATAACTGTGATAGTTCCTTCAGAAATTATTTTTAGTATATTTTTATAAGTAACCTAAATAACCTAGATCCTGAGCAATAAATTCTTTTAATAGTTTAATCTTGGATCACTTAAAAAAATCTTATCCACATTGCTTTTTAGTAGGTGCATGCAGGCATAACTCTAAACAACTGACAGCAATCAAAGTTTAGGTGTATAAAACGTTCTTCTGTTTTCTATAAGGCGATGAGTACTTAATGATACTTATGCTTCTTTGTATGGACTGAATTGTATCCCTCCCTAATTCATATGTTGAAGCCCTAACCCTCAAATGGTGGTGTTTGGAGACAGGGTTTAGGGAGGTAATCAAGGTTAATTGAGGTCATAAGTGTGGAACCCTAACACGCCAGGATTGAAGTTCTTATAAGAAGAGACTGAGGAGGACTGTGTACAACAAGACTGAGAGAGTCCACAAGCCAGGAAAAGAGCTCCACCAGCGACTAACCCTGAGAGCACCTTCACCTGGTTCTTCCAGCTTCCAGAACAATGAGAACAGACATTTCCGTTGTTTAAGCCATTCAGTCTGTGGTATTTTGTTATGGCAGCCTAGGCAGACTTATGCATTCTTATACCTAATAACAGAGACTTAACTGGGTCCAAGGACCTATACCCTTTGTCAGACTCACCTATGATGTAGGATGCAGGATCGAATCGGTCCGCGGGGCTAGAAAGAGTGGGAATGAGCCAGGTCAGTGCTGCGCTCTTCTCACAGTACTGGTCCTGGATAAAACCCCTGATCTGAGCATAGTAGGATTTTCCATCTTGCTCATCAATCACAGAAACAACATCTCCAATTTGGTAATATACCCCCTGTGGAAATAGAAGATAAACCTACATTTAAAATAAATAGAACAGCAACAGAATTATGAATAGAAACTTCCTTAATGTAAAAGCAAGAGTTTTCTAAGTGGTCAATAAAAGGTCTCTGAGATGGACAAACTAATGTGTATATGGTTGAAGCCAATTCTAAAATTGTCTCACTTTTGAATGAAAAAAAGTTTACACACACACACAGCTTGCATCTGAAGGAAATGTGCTTAAAAAAAAATACTTTAAGCCAAAACCAGTTTGGCTCAGTGGTAGAGTGTCGGTCTGTGGACTGAAAGGTCCTGGGTTCGATTCTGGTCAAGGGCATGTACCTTGGTTGCAGGCACATCCCCGGTAGGGAGTGTGCAAGAGGCAGCTGGTCGATGTTTCTCTCTCATCGACGTTTCTAGCTCTCTATCTCTCTCCCTTCCTCTCTGTAAAAAGTTAATAAAATATATATTAAAAAAATACTTTAATTTTCTATCACCAACAGTACTATCGCTACTTTTTTAGCTAGAAAAATTGAGCTGCCGAAGTGACTTGGTGAAAGCCACAAAGGCAGAGCTGCAGCTGAGGTTCCTACACTAGCTAAGCGGTCTAACCCTGTACTGGCTTGAAAATCAGTGCTTATCTGGTGAAAATATGCTCTATACACCTTCCTCCTCAACCATCAACTAGGGAAAAGAGATACTACAAACTGAAACCAAAGAAATGATAGAAGCTCTTCGATTGTAAGAGGTCTTCAGGGTAGGTTTTACCTTCAATTTACCCTACTTTCCCGTCTCCCCGGCAGCTGTCTTCTCCCTTCCTATTCTCTGTGATATTCTCCGACAAGGCAGTTACTGGGCAAGGCTTTGTGTCTTATCCTTACTCTGCTTCATACCCAGCTAACTAACTTGTGCATATTTTGTGTTTAGAACCCTTAGAACTCTGCCACTGCCTTCTACCCCATTTCCTCTTCCCTGGGTCTCGAACTGGAAATAATCTCTCATTTGAACATACATAATGGCTGATGCAAATATTTATGACACTCAGCACTCTTTTTTTTTCTTTTTTCTTTTTTTTAATATATTTCACTGATTTTCTACAGAGAGGAAGGGAGAGAGATAGAGAGCCAGAAACATCGATGAGACAGAAACATCGACCAGCTGCCTCCTGCACGCCCCCACTGAGGATGTGCCCGCCACCAACGTACATGCCCCCGACCGGAATCAAACCCGGAACCCCTCAGTCTGCAGACCGACACTCCACCGCTGAGCCAAACCAGTTTCGGCCACTCAGCACTTCCTTAGATAGGTGCACCAGCCTGCAGGGGTGAGTCATTATTGCTCCTCTCAAAACAGGGCCTTGGCAGCAGATAAAACTGCTAGGGTGTGCAGCTCAACCATAAAAGTGATTCTGAGAAAATGTTTCTAGTAACTGAGCTGTGACATGAGCACCTGACAGACCAGGAGTTTCTCCTGACGCTTTTATCTATATGTCCGAGGGTGACTGTTGCATCTGGATCATTATGGACGGGTATAGTCATTGTGGGCCACAATCTCCTACCCGCTGGTTCACGAACAATGGAAGACAATAATTACTGATACCTGCAATAACAGGCCTCGTGCTTTCCATTGACACATGCCTAAAAAGCATCAGCACACGAAGTTCTTAGCTTAGTCAGTTGCTCCTAAACTTAATCTGTAAAGTCTATGTTTAGCTGTGAAAATAACGCACACATGTGAAAATGTGATGATGGTAACTGTTCCTATTCACTTGGAGTTAGGTGCTTAGATATATCGATACATGATCTCACTTGACCCAACGAGTAGTTTCTATTTACAACCCCTATTTTATAGAGTCTATGTAATATACAGTAGATGAAGAAACATCAGAGAGCCCTGGCCAGTGGGGCTCAGTGGTTGGAGTGCCGGCCCTCGCACTGAAGGGTCATGGATTTGATTCCAGGTCAAGGGCAAGGTACCTGGGTTACAGGTTCAATCTCCGTCCTGGTTAGGGCATGTGCGGGAGGCAACCAATTGATGTCTTTCTCACACAGATGTTTTTCTCTTCCTCTCTCTCCCACCGCACCCCATTCTACTCTCTCACTCTAAAATTTTATATATCTATATATGGGTGTGTGTATGTGTATGTGTGTGTGTATATATCTCCTCAGGTGAGGATTCATGGACTCCCTCTCTCTAACCATCAACTTCCAATAGGCGCTACTCCCTACTGTCCTTATCCTCCCACTTCTGCTTAAAGGCACTGTAAAATCCCAGTGCTGACTCTGTCCACTAGTCATCCTCTACGAGTCTGAATCCTGCCTCTGTTCTTCTCACCCTTCAGCTCCATCACATTGTTTAGGATGGCTCCCTCTCACAGCTACACACCATACATCGGTATTTTAAAAACGATTCTCGTGATCTGTGCTAAAAATTCTCAAGATCCTCTTCATATTTCAATAGGCAACTTCCCCTCCCATCTCAGCTCTAAGTGAGATGTTTTCTAACAGCTACCTCTGGGAGAAACAGCTTAAAGAACAAAAAACACACAGAGACCTTCAGACCGACCCAATGTTTTAGTAGCCTATTATACAGTAGGCCCAAATCTTCCCCAGTAACCTCAGGTGTTTACCTTGTAGAAGATTGATTCTGCAGTGATTATGGTGGAAACTGACTCAGGTGCTTTGATTGGCTATGAAAAAAAAAAAAAAGGAAAATTATTAGCACATTCACAATGTGTGTATATAGGCATTTTTTCCAACCATATGAGAGTTCTGTAATTTGAGAAATACTAAATTTGTTATTTGGTGACAAAAAATGCAAAAAGACAAATGATTTTCTGAATGTTGTGGCCAAGTGTAATATGAATATTTCCACTGCTATTTCTGCTATCATTTGCTTAAAAATTGCTGGGAACTAGAGGACAAGCTTCTGATTATGCTGCTGAGAGCTAACACAAGCCCTTTCAGAGCTTTATTATACATTAACATTTTAGTTATAAAAATATATTGCCTCTAGCGGCCAGAGCATAACATAAATGAAAAAAAATAAAATAAAATGGTGAGCACTAACTGAAAAAGTGCTTCCTTGATGACATTTTCCATCTCAACCTGACTATGAAGCCAGCTGTAACACTTGAGATATTATCAGAACCCATTTTCTAGCAAGGCTGAACTAAGGCTAAAAGAAACTTCCTTGGGAGTTCTTATTAACCTGCCACCATCCACCCATCACTGAAATCTGTTCTTAAGCTGAAATATACAATTTTATGCCACCACAGAGAAAGCAGCCCTCCCAAAATGTGTCTTGGTATCATCCATGAAGAGTTTGATAGAAAAACTGATACTGAAATAATTGCAGAGAATATAGTCTATCATACGTAAGAATAAAACATGTTTAAGTGATACACTATAAATAATCAAAGGAATATTTACTTAACATGTTTTGTCTAGCCAACAAATGCCTCATTTTTAGAAAATTAAATTATAAAAATCTTAAATTAGAGGCAACTAATCTTAGTAAGAAAAGAATCCACAATCTATACAATATACTGGAGACCCCTTTGTGTCTTATGAAAGAATATGCCTTTATTGGTCAGTCATTCCTGTTCCAAAAAGGAAGTATCACACTGAGGTTTTAAAAAGTTGCCTATAATGCATTATCCTTTGTGTCTGACCAGGTCCCCTTGTGTGTACAAAGGTAATGAGAATTGATTGCATTGAAAGTGTGCTTCCTACCACCCCCACAAAAAAATCTTTCAACAATCTGTTTTCTTACAGCAGAATAGAGAAAGGTTTAGCAAAATTTCAATTCATATTCATCAAACTGATCGTAAGTCAGTAAAATAAATACATTTTTCTGGGGCTAAAATAACAAATATGGAAACAAGTTTCAGTGTTATTATTTACTCAGATCTTTCAAGAAGGAAAAAAGGGTTTCCTAGTGCACTTGGCCGTATCATAATCCTTTGCATAAAGCAAAAAAACACACACACCCACATCCAAAGTGTAGGTTTCCTCTACAGCCTACTGCACACCTCCCAGAGGAAAAGGAAAACCTGAGCTTCCCCAAACAGAGAGGAAGCCCCAGGGCCAGGGTGGGCCACTCCCCAGGACACCACGAAGCAGCTCCCAGGAGGAAGGAGGAAGTCCTCGGAGGAAGATGAAGGTAGTGGCAGGACACAAGGCTGTTACAGTGAAAAAAACAAACCAACAAAAACACTATCCACAACCACCTTACATTTTTTAATTTAAAAATATGTCTTCTCCCTTTTCCTTTGGTGGAAACTTTCTTCTCAGCAGCTGGAGCAGATTTGTACTTGGTGTTTCTGAGCCGAGCAGACCTCCTGTGAATTTCCTGCTTACTCTGCTACAGCAAGAAAGAAAAAAAAGAGAAAGGAATTAAAAAGTGTGGAAAGGATGCTGTCCCGATACAACACCCCTGTAGGGGTCCCCGAGTATGCACTTTATCCGGGCCTTCAAAAATCAAGTCAGGGCGCACCTTTTCTTTTCCTGCTGGGTAACCCCGCCTTGAGGGGTCAGGAAAACAAGGAGGGGCCTCGGCCAGCCACTCCGGAGCCTCCAAAAAGGAGTGAGCTGCCTGCCATAGGGCCAAGGCCTGGGCGAGGTGCAAGTCCATTCACAGGCCTTGGTAAAGGAGAAGCACCCCAACAACTCAACTCTCCGGCGAGGCGCCGGAGATCCGGTTAGGCATGCCACCGCCTTCCTACCATGGAGTGCTCATGCTGCCGTTTACACGGCACGATGGTATTAACGGGACACGACGACACATGCCCTCAATGATCAAGGACAAGCCCTGTGGCAGGACCCCATGCACCTGCCTGCGCACACGCATGGCTAACGCTAAGGTGACGTCTGGTTGCTACCCAAAATATCCCAATGGAGGGATTTCCCAAGGATTTTTACTTTTCAAGCTTCTTTATTTTTTTATTTTTTAAAAATATATTTTATTGATTTTTCACAGAGAGGAAGAGTCAGAAACATCCATGAGAGAATCATCGATCAGCTGCCTCTTGCACACCCCCTACTGGGGATGTGCCGGCAACCAAGGTACACGTCCTTGACCGGAATCGAACCCGGGACCTTTCAGTCCGCAGGCTGACGCTCTATCCACTGAGCCAAACCGGTCCCGGCTCAAGCTTCTTTAGGCTACCCATTTCTCCAAAGAAAAGGTGCTTAGATCGGGCCGAACCAGCTAAGATCTCATCAGGGGTGGGGGTGGCGGCCGGCCCGGCCCGGCTGGACACGGCGGACACTGGGGTCCCCGGGCCGCGCCCCGCCCGTGCGCATGCGCCCTCGGGGGGAGCTCACCTGCTTGCCGCCCCCGCCCCCGTTGCTCTGCGAAGGGGCGGCCGAGGTGCTGGGGAAGGTGGCCGCCCCGAGGCCCGCGCCGCCGCCGCCGCCGCCGCCGCCGCTGAGGCCGCTGCCCCCGGTCCCGCCGGCGGCCCCGGAGCCCGCGCCCCCGCCGCCCCGGCCCGAGCAGTGGAGGCAGAGGATGTCCCCCTGCGGGCTCTTCTTCCACATGGACGACGACGTGGTCTTGCAGACGCTGCAGGTGGGCTTCAGGCCCAGGGGCATGGTGGCCGGCTCGGGCGGCCCCCGCGGGCGCAGCGACACGGGAATGGCGACCGCCGACCCCGGCCGCCCGCCGGCCGGCCCGCCACGTCCAGCGACGGGGAGAGCGACTGGGCGCGGGCGGTACCCAGCCCCCGGAGGCCGGAAGCCAGCCCAGCGGAGGCGGAGCAGCGGACCTGAGGCAGCTTCCGGCGGTGGGCGGGGCCCGCGCCCCGCTGACCGGAAGTGCCCCCGGATAGGGGGCGCACTGCCATTCAGGTGGTTGCTGTTTGCATTTTTTTGGCCTTAAATACAGACCGTGCAATTAAATTTAAATTTCATATGAGCAAATGATATATATATATATTGCAATATTCGTATTTATCTGAAATTCAAACTTAACTGGGCGTCCTGTGTTTTCATTTGCAAAATCTGGCTCTCCTACTCAGGACCCCTTTATACGCTTAAGAAGATAGAACCAGAGGCATGGATACATGGAGCAGACTGACAGCTGTCCCAGGGCAAGGGAGAGGGGGGACTGGAGATAGATAGATAGATAGATAGATAGATATAGATAGATATAGATATAGATATATAGATATATAGATATATCTCCTACAGATGTGGACAACAGTGTGGTGATAGAGGGAAGGGGGGGCTAGGTGGAGGTGCATAAAGGCGGGAGAAATGGGGACTTCTGCAATAGTAATTTTGTAATTATAACTTAGACCACCCCCAGTATTTTTGCTGTTATAGATTATATCCATGGACATTTATGTGTTAGGAGTTGAAGTAGACATTTCAGCTTAAGATGCAAAGCACACATTTATTATTTTTTAAATATTTTTTTATTGATTTCAGAGAGAAAAGGAGAGGGAGAGAGAGACAAAAACATCAATAATGAGAGAGAATCATTGATCAGCTGCCTCCTACACACACCCCTACTCAGGGAATTGAGCCTGCAACCCAGGCATGTGCCCTCAACTGGAGTGGAACCTGAGACCCTTCAGTGTGCAGGCCAATGCTCTATCCACTGAGCCAAACAAGCCAGGGCAAAGCACACATTAACCATTGAGTGATGTCATCGTAGTTGGGTGATGTCATCGTATGGCCTGCAGCCCTCTGAACAGTATGCCAGCAAAATGAGAAGGGAAAGGCAAATGAGTGGCTTGGCATTGTTGCGAGACCATTTTGACCCCAAAGACTCCTTGCAAGGGTCTTGGGACCTTCCTGGACTACAATCTAGAATGGGTGGCTTAGGACAAACTCATTATGAAAAGCCATTCCCTCTGTTAATGTCTAGTCAAGCTTAGGCCTCACCAGGAAAAGGACTGTCACCTCAGCCTCACTTGGTAAAGTTGTGGTTGCATGTCTGTGTCCGTGATCCTGGGGCTCGGGGACTGGACATTTCTGGAGAGGTCTTGACGAATGTGTTGGTGGTGTGGGCTGAGTGGGAGAGGGGAAAGGCAAATGTGTTGAATGCCTATGACGTCATAAAATCTCAGTGCTTATCACTCCAGTGGAACAAGATATTAATGTTCCTATTTTACTGTTAGCTGATCAACAGAAGAGCCATGATGTGGGCTGGCGGCCAACACGGTGGCTGCTCTCGGTGTCATATCTGGACAGGCCTTTAGAGCAGCGCTGGGGCCGGGCTTTGCTTGGTCGTCCTCTCTCTGAGTCTAGGTTTTCCCAACAGTAAAACAGAATATTAACTGCCCTCCAGGGCTGCTGTGGGGATTATGATCAACTGTGAAAGTGGTTGAGGAGAATAGGTAAACGATGCTGTTCCCTTATTTTAGAACGATGCACTCTGCAAGGGGCATCTGGGTGTGCACCTTCATGCTCCCTAATTTTGTTTTCTTGGTAATGTGTCCCCTCTGCATCTGATTGCCAAGTTACTCCCTCTCTTCACTGAAAACATAGGCCTCTGGTTCAACTATTGTACTTCCTCTCCACCAAACCACTCTGTCCTGGGTGGAGTAAATAGCCACCTGCATTGCCACGCAGCATCCCCTCAACTCCCTGATCTCCAGCTTCTGTTCTTGACAGCTCCCTGGTCACACCCTCTACCTTTCTGAGATAATTGGAAGAACTACATTTTTTTTTCCTTGTAAAAATTTGTTACAACCTTTTAAAATGAAGTCTAATACACATACTGTAAAGTATCCAACTCATTCCTGCACAACTTATCACAAAGTAACCACACTTGAGCAACCAGATTAAGAAATAGAACGTGACTGCCATAAGAGTCCCCTGGCGCTTGCCCTTTACACAGAAAGTTCCACTGGCATGACTTCCAACACTGTAGATTTTGCAGATTCCTTTTGTCAGGTTAAGGAAGTTCCCTGCGATTTTCTATTTTCATCACAAATGTAGATATTTTTTAATTTTATTGATTTTTCACAGAGAGGAAGGGAGAGGGATAGATCCCACACTGGGGATGGAGCCCACAACCTGAGCATGTGCTTCTGATGGGCATTGAACCTGGGACCCTTCATCTGCAGGCCAACACTCTATCCACTGAGCCAAATTGGCTAGGGTGGCAATGACTTAAAAAAACCACCCACAACTGTTACCAAAAGCAAAATGGGTAGGTTACCAAACAGGAGAAAGTGTTTTGCAAGTCATTTATTTGGTAAGGGATTAATATCCAAAACATATGAAGAATTCATGCAGCTCAATAGCAAAATAATAATCTGATTTTTAAAAAATGAGCATAGGAGCTGAATAAGATGTCTTTTTAAAAAAGACATACAGCTGGTCAACAGGCACATGAAAAGATGATCTACATCACTAGTCATCAGGGAAATGCAAATCAAAAACCACAAGGAGATATCTCCTCATATCTTTTAGGATGGCTATTATTAAAAAAAAAAAAAAAAAGATAAATGTGTTGGTGAGGATGTTAAGAAAAGGAAACCTGTGCACTGTTGGTGGGAATGTAAATTAGTGCAGACACTATGGAAAACTGTATGGAAAACATCTTGCCATTTAGGACAACATGGATGGACCTGGAGGACATTATGCTGCTAAATAAGTCAGTCTGAGAAAGACAAATACCATATAATCTCACTTATATGTGGAATCTAAAAAAAAACCAAACACACACACACACACACACACACACACACACACACTAAGAAACCTAAAACAAATAACCAAACTCATAGATACAGAGAACAGATTGATGGTTGCCCGAGGTGGGGGATGGGTAAATGGGTGAAGAGTTATAAACTTGCGCCCCTCCCCTCCCCGCGGGGAGGAGCTGAGAACCGGGACTGCAGGAGTAGGGAAAGGGTTCCGCGGAGGCGGAGGAGGGTCTCCCCGGCCGCCCGCGGATATGCCATCCAGAAGCCAGTCCGGCCCAGCCAAGAAGATGACCCGCCCCCTTCCACGCTCCTCAAAGATCACCAGGACGTCCCTGGAATTGACAAGGTTGATGATGTCGGGAAAAGACTCTTGTCTTTGGAAATGGGGAATCAGAAGGAGAAGCTAAAAGTCAAGAAAGAACAATTGATGAACAAGGTTGTGGCAAACCCCGAGGACACCAGCGCCCTGGAGGCTCGAATTGTTGCCTTGACTGTCAAGATCCGCAATTATGAAGAACACATGCAGAAACATCGAAAGGACAAAGCTCTCAAGCGCTATCTGATCACGAGCATTGACCAGAGGCAAAAGATGCTCAAAAACCTCAGTAAGACCAACTACAAAGTCTTTGAGAAGATGTGCAAGGACCTGGGGACTGAGTGCATCTTCCCCCCTATGTACTACCGAAGAGCCCACCGCCGCTGGGTGGCCAAGAAGGCTTTGTGCATTCTGGTTTACCAGGAGGCACAAAAGCTAAAGAAGCAAAGAAGGGCCTTAAAAGCAGCAGCAGCTGCCCAGAAACAACGCCAGACGAACCCAATAAGCATTTCCCAAGCTGAACCAGAGGCAATCAAGGAAAACAAATAATTTTGTTCAAGCTTTATTAAAAAAAAAAAAAAAGTTGAGAAGAAACCAAAATGGCGGCATAAGGTAGACACCCGAATGCAGCCTGCCACAACAAATTTGAATTTAGAACTGAAAAACAGGGGAGGCATTGCCCTGAAGCGCCAGACAGCTGGTTGAGAGGAGGCTCTGCCATCTGGGAAGGAGAGAGAAGGTACGCTGAACCTCAGGAACTGTGAAGGTACGGAGAACTGTGTGCGCAAAAAGGCGCTGGCTTAATCCCAGTGCGGAGAGGAAGGGCCGGACCGAGATTGCTGCTGGCTTACTCCCTGCACGCAGAGAGGGCGGGCCGGGATGAGTTTGCTACTGGCTTACTCCTGGCGCGGAGAGGGCGGACAGCTAACTCGGCTGGCTTTCTTGTCCGAGAGGAAAACAGAATCACCCTGTTGCTCTGATAGACGGCCCCAGACAAGGAGAGGCCAGACTGTCAGGCAGTGGGCAGAGATCTCTTGGAGGTGTGTGAAGCCAGAGGCCATTACTGCGGGACTTGGGGAGGAGCCCAAGGGAAAACAGTTTGTCTGTACCAACCTGAGACTCCGCCCAATCTCTGGCTGAGCACAGAAGCTCTCCCAGAAGCTGGCTTTCTCTAAGGAGAGACTGGCTGGAATCCAAAGCTTGTCTGCGCCTTTACCAAAGAGGTGCACGCACGCCTGCAACCAATCTTCCAAAACTCTCCACGAACAGGACTTTTCTAAGGCGAGATTGACAGGGAACCAAAGATTGTCTACGCCACCCTGAGACCCCGCCCTATTCAAGCAGAGTACGGAAACCCTCCTAGCTGAGACACTGCTGATCCTCACAGCCAATTGGCTTGGAAATCAACGCTTCCCAGTGATACCAACAATAAGCAAGGCTTAACAACAAGACTGCACACACAGCCCACAAAGGGCTACACCAAGACTGTCCACCGCAGGTAACTGGGAAGGCTGTGCTACTGGGCTCTATCAGAACACCTAGCACACAAAGCTATTCCATCAAATCAGGGAAACAACTAAAATGCAGACAAGAAGAAGGACACAAAGGAAGGAGATGGAGGAAAAGAAAAGATTGGACATTGAGTTCAAAACTACAGTTATAAGGTTATTCAATAATATCCTAAAAAAGGCCGATAAAATAAATGAGACCTATGAGGATATGAAAAGGGAGCAACTAGAAATAATAAGGGATCAACAATAAATGAAGAAAACATTGTCTGAAATAAAAAATATTATACAAAGTCCTAAAAACAGACTGGAAGATCGCAAGAATCAAGACAAAGATTTAGAACAAAAAGAGCCAGAGGACACTCCTCTGCAGAAGGGAGAAGAAAAGAGAATCCAGAAAGTTGAAGATAGTGTAAGAAACCTCTGGGACAATTTCAAGCGAACCAACATCAGAATTATGGGGATTCCAGAAGAGAGAGAGCAAGATACCGAAAGAATACTAGAAGACATAGTGACAGAAAACTTCCCCCACCTGGGGAAAGAAATAAACTTACAAATCCAGGAAGTCCGCAGAACCCCAAACAAAAGGAATCCAAGGAGGACCACACCAAGACATATCATAATTAAAATTCCAAGAGCAAAAGACAAAGAGAGAATATTAAAAGCAGCAAGAGAAAAGCAGGTAGTGACCTATAAAGGAGCACCCATAAGATTGTCAGCTGATTTCTCAACAGAAACCATGCAGGCCAGACAGGAATGGCAAGAAATATTCAAGGTGATGAACAGCAAGAACCTACAGCCAAAAATAATCTACCCAGCAAAGCTATCACTCAGAATCAAAGGACAGATAAAGAGCTTCACTAATAAAAAAAGCTAAAAGAGTTCATCACCACCAAACCAGAATTATATGAATTGCTGAAGGGGGTTATTTAGGAAGAGGAAGAAGATAAAGATAAAAATTATGATCAACAAATACGTAGCTATCAACAAGTGAATCTAAAAACCAGGGGAATTGGGGAATCTGATGAACAATATTGACTGGTGAATATAGTGGAGTATGGAAGGGGAGTGGACTGACGATTCTTGGAGAGGGGGGGTAGGGATGCGGGGGGGGGGGGGACTGAGCAGGAACTGTGCACCTATGGATGGGGGATGGGGAAGGGACAGAGGGTGGGGTGGGAACCTGGTGAAGGGGAGCAATTGAGGGGGGGAAGAGGATCACATTTGTAATGGTCTGAAAAATAAAGATTTATTAAAAAAAAAAAGTTATAAACTTCCAGTTATAAAATAAGTCAAGGGGATGTTAAGGGCATGGGTGACTATAGTTACAATTACAATATTTAAAAGTTGCTAAAAGAGTAGATCTTGTAAGTTCCCATCACAAGAAAATTTTGTAATGAATGGTAATGAATGTTAACTGCACTTATGTGTGATCACTTCACAATCTATACAAATAGGGAACCATGCCCTAGCCGGTTTGGCTCAGTGGATAGAGCGTCGGGCCTTCAGACTGAAGGGTCCCAGATTCATATCCTCCTGGGTTTTGGGCTTGGTCCAACCTGCAGGAGGCAGCTAATCAATGATTCCCTCTATCATTGATGTTTCCATCTCTCTCTTCCTCTCCCTTCTTCTCTGAAATTTATATATTAATATATATATATATATATATATATATATATATATATATACACACACACACACACACACACACACACACACACATAAATAGCAAACCATTATGTTGTACACCTGAAAGTAATTAATGTTATATGTCAATAATACTTTACTATGGCTTTTTTAAAAGTGGAAAAAGCAATCTACAGAATAGTAGAGAGAGAGAAAGTGAGACCTATGAAACAGCAAGGGGATAAGGGCCAAGGCAGGTGTCCTTGCTGACCTTTTCCCTTTCCTCCCTGGGGGCCGGCAAGACACCCACTGCACTCAGACCCTCTACGTTATCCGCTGACAGACGCCTTGTTTTGTAGATGTGCCCCACGGTGCCCCCTCCTCCTCCAGGGTGCCCTCTTTGCCCGGAAAATGCCTCCTCCCAACACTTCACACCCAGCCCTGTCCACCTGCCCAGAAGGGGCTCACTGCCTTCAGGGGCTTCTGCCAGGGGTCCCAGCCCCTTTCTCCACCTCCGGAGCTCCACCAGCTGTTCCCGGCAGGGACCCTTCCTTCTGCCCCAGCCACACTCTCCCTCTGCCCCAGCCCACACCCTCCTTCTGCCCCAGCCACACCCTCCCCCTCCACACCCTGCCTCTGCCCCGGCCCACACCCTCCCCCTGCCCCGGCCCCCACCCTCCCCCTGCCCCGGCCCACACCCTGCCTCTGCCCCGGTCCACACTCTCCCCCTGCCCCGGCCCCCACCCTCCCTCTGCCCCGGCCCCCACCCTCCCCCTGCCCCGGCCCCCACCCTCCCTCTGCCCCGGCCCCCACCCTCCCCCTGCCCCGGCCCACACCCTGCCTCTGCCCCGGCCCACACTCTCCCCCTGCCCCGGCCCCCACCCTCCCCCTGCCCCAGCCACGCCCTCCCCCTGCCCCGGCCCACACCCTCCCCCTGCCCCGGCCCACACCCTCCCCCTGCCCCGGCCCACACCCTCCCCCTGCCCCGGCCACACCCTCCCCCTGCCCCGGCCCACACCCTCCTCCTGCCCCGTCCACACCCTCCCCTGCCCCGGCCCACACCTTCCTATGGCTCCTCCGCTGCGCAGGGAGCAGGCTCAGGGAGGCAAGGGCCTCTGCCTTTTCCTCCTGTGTCTTCCCCACGCCTCGCCCCCAGTAGGCCGTCCTCCTTAGCAGTTCAACACGTGGGTTCCTACACCACTGAGCTTTCCCCAGCAAAAGTCTCCCTGCAGGACCAGTGTCTGCTCCCAGCCCCTCCGCTTACACACACACACACACACACACACACACACACACACACACACACACACACCTCTCACCGAACAGCCCGAGTCCTCCTGGGCCTGCAGCCCGGGCTGGGCTTCTCCTCGGGTGGCGGGCGGCACCGCGGTCATCGTGCGGCAGCACCCCCCCCCCCTGCCAGGCCCGCTTCCTCACCGGCAGGTCCCCCTGCCCCGCGGCCGTCCTCACCGGCAGGTCCCCCTGCCCCGCGGGGCGGCCGTGCGGGAGCCGCTGCCCGGGCTGCAGGGCGCCCGGCCGGGAGGCGCGGGGGCGGGTGTGGCCGCCGGGCACTGGGCACCGCGTCCAGCCGCCGCCACTCTGACCGGGACGGGGCCGGGCGGGTGGACGCGGCTCAGGGCCCCCCTCCTGGGTAGCGGGGTTCGCAGGGCACCCCAGCCCAACGGCCACTCCCCCAACTGCCGTCGGAACTCTGCCCCGGGGTGACCGCTGGCGAGCGGCGGCGTCCGGAGACCAGGTGAAAGCTGCTCTGGGGCTGGGCGCCAGCCCGGGTGTGGAGAGGGGAGCGCAGCTGGCTCCGTTTGTTTGGGGTCGGCTTCGGCGCCCGGAAACCTTGGCTGCCCCTGCCCTCTGGTTTGCAGGATCTGGGGGAGGCCGCGCGGGGCTGTGTGAGCATCCCTGGGTGCTTCAAGCCGGGCGTGAGGACGCTCCCTCCCTCCCTCCGAGGGGCTCCGGACTTGGGGGAGGGAGGGAGGGAGGGAGGGAGGGAGGGAGGGAGGGAGGGAGAGAGAGAGAGAGAGAGAGAGAGAGAGAGAGAGAGAGAGAGAGAGAGAGAGAGAGAGAGAGAGAGAGAGAGAGAGAGAAGGTTCTTTTTCTCTTCAAAATGTAAATACTTTTTATATAAATAGTAAATGCTCATTGTAAAAATGAGTACAATGCAGAGGCACACACACACACACACACACACACACACACACACACACACCCCGCTGTGTGACCAGAGACAACCACATTCTAGTTGGTGGCCTGGCTTTTCAGTCTCTGGAAGTGTGTGCATCTGTGTGAAACACTGATGCGACGTAACTAAGTGTTATCCCATAACCCTGCCTTTTAAATTCAAAAGTATGTAAAAGTGAACTTTCCAGCCCATATAGACCTGCAGTTTCCTGGCTGAAATTAACTTCACCATTCCCTGTAATATTGTGTATTTAGCGTGTTTTACATTTCTTTCAGTTACAAACAGGGAAGGATGTAATGAACTTCCTTATACATGTATGGCTGCCTGTGTGTGGGGGTATTTTTTATGGGATACATTCCTACAATGAAACCACAGGGTCTAAAGGAAGGCACATTTTGAGTTTTGGTAGGTGCTTCTAAATTGCTCACCAAAAAGCTTACAAACCTGCCAATTCCCCATTGCCAAGGCCCACGATAGCTTTAGGGATTATAGAAGTGTTTTAACTTTAAAATCAGGAGAAAATATGGTACCAATGACTTTGTAATACACAATAGATCCAGACTGGATTGCATATTTTATATACCAGTGCAGCTATAAAATATACTTTTTCCTTTCTTTTTTTATTTTTTATTTTTATGAAGAGGGAATCCATAAGGCCATTGTGCATAGAGCGTGCAAGTCACACCCTGGATCTCCTATTTCTCCACACCCCTGCAACTCTGAGAAGTATTTTTTTAGTCTTTGCTAGTCTTTTATGCAAATAAAAAAATGCGCCATTTCACAATTGTTTCTACCTGCAAGTCTTTGGCTATTCATGAGGTAGGTCACCTATGTGTGTTGATCCTTGAAATGTCCTCTATGAATTGCCTATTTATGTTCTTATCTCGCCTTTCTATTCAGTTGCTCATCTTTTCTTTGCTAAACATTTTGCATTTCAGATTAACTGGTATCTTTTTGTCATGATACTTGAAGGTTTTCCATACCCTGAATCTGTCAGGCATTTAAGTTTATGGTATCATTCTTGCAAGGGCTTACACAAATATTCATTGATATTTTCTTGTAGAATATCTATGGCTATAATTATTTACTAAAGGACCAATGCACAAAATTCATGCATTGGGGTGGGGGCCTTCAGCCCAGTCTGCACCCTTTTGCAATCTGAGACTGCTGGCTCCGAACTGCTTGCCTGCCTGCCTGATCACCCTTAACCCCCCTGTCTGCCTGCCTGATCGCCCCTAACCACCTCTACCTCAGCCCCCACTGCTGAGGCTTCTCTGGAAGGACGTCTGGAAGGTCATTGGCTGTCTGATCTAATTAGCATATTATGTTTTTATTATTTTAGATGATAGTGTCTTTAATTCATCTGAAATGCATTTCTGTAAAAGATGTGAAATAGTTAGTAATCTTTGTTTTCCAGCATCTTGGGACAATAACTTAAAATATCATTTTTATCAAATATTAAATTATCATATATACATGACTATTTCTTGAATCTCTTCCATTTCATAGGTCCATTCATCTATTGTTTATGCAAACTCCACACTTTTTAAAAAATCTTCACCTGAGGATATTTTTCTATTGATTTTTAGGAAAAGTGGAAGAGAGGGGGAAAGATAGAAATATCAATGTGAGAGAAACATCGATTAGTTGCCTCCTGCACATGCCCTGCCCAGGGCCCAGGCTGGGGAGGAGCCTGCAGCCCAGGTCCACGCCCTTGACAGGAATCGAATCCCGGACCCTTCAGTTCGCAGGCCGATGCTCTATGCACTGAGCCAAACCAACGAGGGCCACACTTTCAATTCCATAGCTTTAGGATATTTTGATTTCTGATATGGCAAATCACTTCTCTTTCAATTTTTCTCTTGATTATTCTCATACGTTTACTCTTTTTGGATGAACTTCACGTTTTCAAGTACTGAAAAAAATCCCAGTGAGTTTTGTAAAACTTTACAGATCGGTTTGAGAAGGGACATCTGCCTCTCCCAGAGCATGGCTGCTCAGACCTCTTTACAAGCACCCCCTGTTTTGTCTAAGCCCGGCCAGCTCAGCCGTCTCCTGCTCAGACTCCTCCTCGGCTCTCTCTGGGGCCAGGCGGCCAGCAGCAGGGGGCTAAAGGGGACCTTCTCGTCCCCAGGAGGCTAAAGGGGACCTTCTCTTTTGCCAATTTTGCCCTTTTTAGTACTAATTCTCTAAGAACTGTGTTCCGCTGCAAAGCACCGTGGCAAAAGCCCACCACGATCTCTGGTCTTTCGCTTTTTAAAAAATACATTTTTATTGATTCCAGAGAGAAAGGGAGAGGGAGAGAGATAGAAACATCAATGATGAGAGAGAATCATTGATTAGCAGTCTCCTGCACCCTCTCCCCCCCTCTCCCCCTTGCTTACTAGGGATCAAGCCCGCAACCCGGGCATGTGCCCTTGACCAGAATCAAACCTGGGTGGGACCCTTTAGTCCGCAGGCCAGCGCTCTATCCACTAAGCCAAACCAGTGGTTTCTGGTCTCTTTGCTTCCACTTGTGCTTCCTCTGGTTCATTCTCTACTCTGGGCCCAGCATAATCTTCCTAGTCAGGTCCCTGTGGTCCTCTCCTGGAAACCCCTCAGTGATTCCCCGTTCTCTTAGTCCCTTATTGCTGCTGTAACAAATTGCTACAAACATCATGCCTTAAAACACATGTGTCAAACACAAGGCCCGCGGGCCAAATCCGTCCCGCCAGGCCTTGCAATGTGGCCCACACCGCGCTGTCATCACTGCACTCCGCTGCGTTTCCATCACAATGACAGTTTATGACTGTTCAGTAAACCATTTGGCCCGCGATTTAGGCTGGATTTTAGATTTTGGCCCCTTCTCTGATTGAGTTCGACACCCCTACCTTAAAACAACACGTATTTATTGTCTGGAAATTATAAGGCCAAAGTCATTCTCGCTGGTCTAGAATCCAGGTGCTGTCTTCCTTCTCTGGAGCTCTTGGGGGGGGGGGGGGGACACACGTTTCCCACCGTTTCCATCTGCTAGATCTGCCTGCTTTTCTTGGCTCATGGCCCCTTCCTTCATCTTCAAAGACAGCCACTGCATGGCTCTGACCGACCCCTGTGTCTGTCGTCACATCTCCTTCTCTGGCTCGGGGCCCCCCTGCCTCCCCCGGTAAGTATGATCATAAGGACCCTTGTGATTCTATTGGGCTCACCCAGATAATCCAGGATCCAATCCCGCCTCAAAGTCCTTAACTTAACCGCATCTGCAACTTTCCTTTTGCCACGTGAGGGACCATCTCCTTAGGTTCCAGGGGTTAGGACGCGGGCGTCCCTGAGGGACATTACTCCGCCTTCCACAGCCATGGCCTCGGGGATTAACTTGGCTCACCAGCCCATCAGTGACCTGCCCCGCGGATCATCTGCTTACACTCATTCTCCTCTCCCCTTTGAACTCCCTGCTCCAGTTCTGAAACCTGCCCCTTTTGCTCCTCCAGTCCTGGTCCAGGCTGGTCCTTCTGCCTGGGAAAGCCTTTCCCCACCGCCTCACCTGACCAACTCCTCCTCGTTTTGCAGCCTTGGCTTAAACCTCACTTCTCCTGGAAGCTTTCGACCACCTCTTCTACGCCTTGCATGTTCTTCCAGACTCCATTAGAGGCTGCCGTGCCAACCTCCCTTGTTCCTGGCCTCAGAATGCCCCTGTCTGTTTGGTCCTCTTCTCTTCCACCACGGAAGCTGTCTGAGGGCAGCTCCCCGCACTTGGCCCAGAAGAGGGGACTTAAACTCCTCGCTGCATGGATGTGATTTCATAATAGAATGCGAATAGCCTTACTCCATAGGTGTCCTCTTAAAAGCATTCACCGTGCCCTGGCCAGCTTGGCTCAGTGGATAGAGCATCGGCCTGCGGACTGAAGGGTCCCAGGTTCAATTCTGGCCAAGGGCACATGCCTGGCCTGTGGGCTTGATCCCCAAGTAGGGGGTGTGCAGGAGGCAGCTGATCAATGTTTCTCTCTCATCATTGATGTTTCTATTTCTCTATCCCTCTCCCTTCCTCTCTAAAATCAATTTAAAAAATATATATATATATATATTTTAAAAAGCGTTCATCGTTCAGTCAATGAGCACTGACTTTGTAGGTACTGAGCCACGGGGGTTAAAATCAGGGTAAAACATCTGCACGTTATGGTTGCAATGGTAGGACCATAAGGACCCGGATCACCATCCTCCCCTTCAGGGAAATGGACACGAGGTCAGGGGGCCAGCGAGCATCAGCGCCTGGTGCAGAAAGCAGCGGACAGCAGCACCCAGCGCACCCCTCAGCACAGCCCACCCGTCAGAAGGCCAAGGCCGGGTCGCAGCCAGCCGAGGCCAAGCAGACGCATGGGAAACCATCTCCGAAGGCTGAGAAGCGCAAGGAGGCCTACGTGGTGCAGATTTCGGAGGAGACCAGCTCCGAAGAGATCACTGCTGTGCCCAACAACCCCTTCTCAGAGGAAGCCATCCGCAGAGGTGAGAAGAAAGAAATGTCCTTTTGGGGAGAGAAAAAGCAAATGCCGTCTTAACGTGTTTCCCCCGAAATTGCTTTTAGTTGCTTTCAGTTTTTCCCAGCCAGGCTTCCCCATGAGAGATGGGGTAGGGCCTCGGTGGACAGGCCACCCCCGCAGTGTCCAGAACATTCAGAAAGTCCTAGGGAACATGTCGCAGTGAAAACGCGTGTGGTTTTCTTAGGAACTGTGAAGCAGTCACTGATGGTAGAATGTCCTTACCTATGTACAACGTGAATTCCGTAGTATTGGCTTCAGCTTTAAAGGATGTGAATGCAATGCCTTTAGACAATAATTCTGCACAGGAAATACATGCATTATCCCAATATGGTTTACTCTATTGTTTACGCCCTTGGGGGCGGGACCCTTCAGTCCGCAGGCCCATGCTCTATCCACTGAGCCAGACCGGTTAGGGTGGAGATGTGACCGTTACAATGTAGGCAGCGCACATTGGGGTAGCTATGTTCTGGTAGCTCAGGCCCAGTTTGCCACCGTCACACCTCCTATGCCCACAAACCACCCAGCAAAAGGACACAGCTGTGGTCCTCTCAGCCAGTGGTCGGCACACTCATCCGTCCACAGGGCCAAACATCAACAGCACAACGATCAAAATTTATTTTTGAGAGCCAGATTTTTAAAGCTTGAACTTTTTCTAACGCCACTTCTTGGCGTATTTTGTGGAAGAGCAACACTCAAGGGGCCAAAGAGCCGCATGTGGCTCGCGAGCCGCAGTTTGCCGACCACTGCATCTAAGTCAACTTTAAGCAGCATTTCTTCTTTTTCTTTTCTTTTCTTTTTCCTTTTATTTATTTTATTATTGATTTTTTTATTGATTTTTTTTTTTTTTTTTTTTTTTTTTTTTTTTTACAGAGAGGAAAGGAGAGGGATAGAGAGTTAGAAACATCGATGAGAGAGAATCATCGATCAGCTGCCTCTTGCACACCTCCTACTGGGGATGTGCCCGCAACCCAGGTGTAATACATGCCCTTGACTGGAATCGAATCCCGGACCCTTCAGTCTGCAGGCCAACGCTCTCTCCACTGAGCCAAACCGGTTTCGGCCTTTTTTTTTTTTTTTTTTTTTTTTTTTTAAACTGGCATAAACCCACCAAAAGATAACTCGCCGTTGCCAGCACCACCTGAGAGACCCCAGGATCAGCTGTGCAGTAGGAAGCAGGCAGCAGAGAGGCCTCGGCTCTGCTTGGGGTGCCACTCCCGTGGGGCTCCTTGGTCTGGCTCACCGCCCATCCGGTGGCCTAGTTTCTACTCAGGCAGAAGGGAAGGGAGTGGCCAAAGGCAGGTGGTGGGAGAGAAACGTGGTGGAAACTCCCCACAGCCCACGGCCACGGCCAGGCCCACTCGGGGGGCACACCAGCTCCACCAGCCTTCCTTCCGCCTTCTCTGGTCTCTGTTTTGCCCAAGGGTGTGTCTGGATGCCCCCGGGCCTGTGACATTGTGTGACTCTCCCGTCATCACTCTGGGGCCTGAGTGGACAGCGTGTGCGTCCGGGGGAACTAAATGCCTGACTCTGCCTTCCGCATGCCAGGGCCTCCGTGGACAAACCCGCAGACCTCCAGCGACACACTCAGACGGCCCAGACCGTGGGCCACGGGTCCTGCAGAGCCGCCCTCCCTCCATCGGCTCACTCAAAACTCACACTCCTTTCCCACCCTCAAAAAGCCGGAGGAAACGTTTCTTTTTGCTACGTATCAAAAACAGGCAATTGCCTTTATGTTACTACTTCTGAAGATTACATCACAAAAACGACGTTTCTGTCTCCTCAGCTTTCATTGTAAAAGTGTTCCTCATCCTGTCTGCTCAGCTGGTGATCACGGCGACAATCATGTGTGTATTTATTTTCTGGTAAGTCTTGGCTACTGATGCTAACGAAGCACTGAGCTGCTCACATCTGTCCCTGTCCGTCATTTAAAACCATCCCCCCTTCTCAGGAGATGGTTTTACCTCTACGTAAGTATTACATTATTTAGCAAAATTAAGTACTTACTGAGTAAAACTATTGATTTTTTTTTTTTTTTAAACCAGGACAGGTTTAAAAGACTGGGTGATCAGGACTCCCTGGTTCACCTATGTACTCTTGTAAGTATTATTGCATTTAATAAAAAGTGTTTTGTTTTTTTTTTCCCTACTAGCTATTGACCAAGGTTCTTCATTTAAAAATTAAGATGTTCTGTTTTTATAGCTATTTATCTTTCTCTGTCACCTTTTATCCCACCCCATGCCCTCCTCCATCTCTACCCACACCCTCACCCCGTAAAGATACAACATTCTCGAAATGACAACATTATAGAGATGGAAAACAAGGAGTTAGGGGTATGTGTGTGTGTGTGTGTTACCATAAAGGGACCGCACAGGTAGATCTTTGCTAATGTCTTAATGATTGGGTAGTTTCACATCTTGATTGTGGTGCTGGTTACATGTATCTACACACAGACTTATGCCATAGTCCTATGCATAGCGCTATATATGCACCCTGGACTACTGTCACATTACTGGCTATGTTATTAGTATCGTATACTACTAGAAGCTGGGTGCACAAAGACTCGTGCAAGAAGGGGCCTTCCTTCCCCTGGCTGCCGGCAGCCCCTTCGCTCTGGCCGGAACCGCCTTTCTGCCTTCCCACGCTGCCCAGAGGCCGGAGCGGCTGGGGTGGTGCAGAACGCCTGTGCTGCCTCACGACTATGCAAGTGTCTCACCCGCCTCCAGCAGCTTGGGCACCCGTGTATGCAAATTAACCCAGCATCTTTGTTGGCTTGATTTGCATATCCACTCCTGATTGGCTGGTAGGCATTGTGAAGGTACAGGCAATTAGCATGTTTCCCTCCTTTATTCGGTAGAGATAAATAATGTGAAATGGGCCCCATTAAGGGAAAACTAAGTAAAGGGTACCTCTATGAATTCACAATCATTTCAAAATGAAGAATTTTAAAAGAGCCCACAAAACTACCTGTGGATAGACAGCAATGAGAAAAGTTAGTTTTAAAAGTTAAAAAGAAAAGCCGAAACCGGCTTGGCTCAGTGGTAGAGCGTCGGGCCTGCGGACTGAAAAGTCCCGGGTTCGATTCCGGTCAAGGGCCTGTACCTTGGTTGCGGGCCCATCCCCAGTAGGGGGTGTGCAAGAGGCAGCTGGTCGATGTTTCTCTCTCATCGACGTTTCTAGCTCTCTATCTCTCTCCCTTCCTCTCTGTAAAAAAATCAATAAAACAATATATATTTTTTTAAAAAGCTAAAAAGAAAGGAGAGGTAATGATGATGATATCACACTTTGGTTCACTCTATAAAACCTATTACCAGGTATTAATAGCACACGATGGTATCTGTATCTCCACCCACCTGTGTCACATGATGTGGTCACTGGCAGCCAGTGACACGTGGCTTTGAATTCCCCTCAGCGCAGCATTTTTCACCGTGCTCATTGTGCTCATCTTCTGTGAGAACCTGCGCCGCCAGGTGCCTGCCAACTACATCCTCCTCATACTGTTTGTAAGTAAACCTCGCGGCCGCTCCCCTTTGGTGTGGGCCGGCTTCCGGTGGCAGAATGCAGGTGGGGGTCATGTGTGACACCTTCTGGCAGGGTCCGGTCCCAAAGATCGGACCCGCACCCTCTTAGTCAACCGGGGGGTTTGGGGGGGGGGTGGCCCAGGGCCGCTCCCCTGGAGGTCCTTCCCCCCCCCCCCCCCCCCCCCCCGGGAACCCGCACCCACAGCACACGTACTTGCTATGGAGAGTGGGTTCCACATTTAGTTCCCAAACTCATGTGCACAGAACATAATTGCCGCCGGGACCAGTGTGGCTCAGTGGATAGAGCGTCAGCCTGCGGACTGAAAGGTCCCGGGTTCGATTCTGGTCAAGGGCATGTACCTTGGTTGCGGGCACATCCCCGTTGGGGGGTGTGCAAGAGGCAGCTGGTCGGTGCTTCTCTCTCATCGACGTTTCTAACTCTCTGTCCCTCTCAATTCCTCTCTGTGTAAAATCAATAAAATATATATTAAAAGAAAAAAAAGAACATAATTGTCCTCATTTTTGTAAAACGAATTTCAAGCCTCCCTGGGAGCCGGAACCAGCTCTGCTCAGGCTCCTCCTGTTCCCTGGATTTCAGTTGACAGGAGGCCCTGCCCAGTTCCCAGGGGCTGGGCAGCGAGGGCTGTTTGCCCTCCGGACCTCGCCAGTTCCTTTCTGTGCTGGCTGCGGGGACTCTAGAGTCTGGGCAACTCTCAGCAGGTGCCTAGAGCTCCTCGCCTTCTAGAAGCTAAAGGAGACCTCCGTTTCTATCAGTTCCCCACCCCACCCCAGGGCAGCTTCCTCAGGGACTCGGCAGCATCATCCCCCGTTCCCCAGGCTCTTCCTGCTTCCCAGTCAGGCCAAGCCTCTCGCCTTCCTCGGGCGGTGTTCTCTCAGACATTCACTGACTGTGAGCGTTTTCTCTCCAAAAAAAATCCAGAACGTCTCAGTGCGTTTTCAGTGGTTGTTTTAAGTTTGTTATTACAAGAAGAGATCAGAGCTATTGGTCTTAAAGGAAGCTCTCCTTTCTGAAGTCTTGCTGTTTATTCCAAAGCAGGGGAAAGCTCAAAGAGAAGGAATATTATAGAGGGGTAAGAATTAGCTCTATTTCCCAGACTTCATGCCTTGCCCACGTGTTAGGGAATGCCCAGAGAAAACCATTTCAGAAAAGGACCTGAGGGGAGAAAGGAAACCGCGCGCACCCTGAAGACTGCTCTTGCCCCTGGATCTGTGGCCTCCGAGCCGGCGTTCTGAGCTCTCGAAGCCGCGGGGCAGGTTTGACGTCTAAGGCCTCTTGTTTCTCACTGTCCTGCCCTTGGGAAAACTGAAGGGGAGTTTCCAGCTTGAAATCATTTCTCTCCTTCCTCCCATCCCCTTCTCCCCCTTCTCCCCCTTCTCTCTCTCTCCCTCGCTGTCTCTTTCATGTGCTCCTGGGATGGAGAAATGTGAAACAATTGAGCAAGTAGAAGAAAACTAATCTTGAAAGGAAGGTCAGAAACAAGCACCGTATTTAAGCTTTTCCTTTTGGCCTGTAATGAAAATGAAGACAGCTTGCTTACTTGTACGTGGAGCACCGTAGGCCCTTTCTCACCAGGCCTGGGACGTGGAGAGGCCATTGCGGGCTCTTCTGCAGTCTTTCGTCCCGTATGGCGCCGCCCACGGCGACGGCTGAGGCTGCGGCTGAGACTCCCAACGGGAACACTCCTGGCAGTGCCCCCGGGACTCACCCCAGAGGATTCCCCTTCTTCTCATCCCACCAGAGTGGCCGGAATGTAAAACTGGACAACCCACGGGCCTGGATCAAGGCTACTCCTTGACTCAGTTAAGCAGAGACTGGGTGGAGTCCCAGATGAGTGTTTGGGCAGAAGGACGAAGAAATGTGGGAAAGTAGGATCACAGGCTTGGGGAGCAGGCGGCTGCCACAGGCCTGGCACCCTCCCTGCTGGCTGTCTGCGTGCTCTCAGCACCGGCCGGTGGGAGCCCTGCAGCCTGAGGCAGCCCCAGAGCAGCTCTGCTCCGAGCCGGCACGGGCACCTGCAGGTGCAGCGCATGCTCTGCAGATAGTGCCTCCCACCACCCCTCGCACCGAGGCGGCCTCCGCCCACCCCGCAGCTGGAAGAGGTGTTTTATTCTCACCCAGGCTCCACGAGGAAGGTCCGTGCTGGAACAGGTGGTGACGCTGTGGTAGAAATAGCATATCCTGTTCTGACCAAATGTTAGGATTCCGTGTGGATGGCCCCAGTTGATTAATGATAATATGGCCTGCAGATAAACCCTGTAAGTTGGTTTCCTTACTTCACTAAATATGTTGAAAGGTGCTATGGTGTCCTAATTTATTTATTTATTTTTTTTTTTCTGGTAAGAGAATTTTCTCTTGTTCACCTTAGGGAGAATGTTTGGTCATACTGTTGTATTTTTTGTTGTTGATGTTTTTAATATATTTTATTGATTTTTTTTTATAGAGAGGAAGGGAGAGAGAGATAGAGAGCCAGAAACGTCGATGAGAAACATCGACCAGCCGCCTCCTGCACACCCCTTACCGGGGATGTGCCCGCAACCAACATACATGCCCCTGACCGGAATCGATCCCCGGGACCTTTCAGTCCGCAGACGGATGCTCTACCACTGAGCCAAACGGGTTTCGGCCACACTGTTTGTTTTTAAATAACCATTTGCCCTGCAGTTGGGCCTCGGGAACCAGCCCTCTGATTGTGCATTTTGTTTGCAGACAGTTTTGGAAGGTCTGATGCTCGGAGCCGTGTCAGTGTAAGTCCGGGATGCACATTTTCTTTTTCACACGCGCTTTTCCTTCGATTGTATGCGAACAATGACTGCGGCCTCTGGTTTTAGTTTCTTTGACCACGAGGAGGTGTTATGGGCCATCGGGGCGACTGCCTTGGTGACGTTGTCGCTCACTCTATTTGCTCTCCAAACGAAAGTATGTATCCCCGAGACAGACTCCGCCCTAAGGGAGTGCGGGCCCTGCTCCTCCCTCCTGCCCCTGCCTCCCCCTCCGCTCCCCTCCCCGCCATCCTGTGGCCTCGCCCCCTCGGCCTCCTCCCTTGGGGCTTTGGGCCTTCCCAGGAACAACATTGAAAAAGTAAAAAGGAATAAGGCGAACTTAATCTGAATAATATCTTTCACTTAACCCAATGTACGTGAGGCATGATCATTTCCACAAGTAATCAGCATGACAAAAATGTGAATGAGCTGGTTTACATCCTCTTTTAAAAATATATATATATATTTTATTGATTTTTTTACAGAGAGGAGAGAGGGATAGAGAGCTAGAAACATCGATGAGAGAGAATCATCGACCACCTGCCTCCTGCACACCCCCACCCGGGATGTGCCCGCAACCAAGGTACAGGCCCTTGACCGGAATCGAACCTGGGACCTTTCAGTCCGCAGGCCGACGCTCTATCCACTGAGCCACACCGGTTTTGGCTCCAGTGTGTGTTTTGTACCGATAGCACATCTCAGCTTGGATTAGCCACGTTTCCCCGAGCTCAGTGGCCGCAGGTGTGGGAAGCACACGCGTGGACAAGCTCTCAGCAGCACGTCCCCGGGAAACCTGCTAAACCGCAGCTTGCTGGCTCCACCCCCCGGACACGCAGAGCCAGAAGGTCAACCTGCATCCCAGGTGGTGCCCAGGCTGCTGAGCTAAGGACCACATAGGTGACGCAGGACTTGAGTATATTTCCTTGGCGTGTTACGGGTAGGGAGTGAGGGCAGAACTAGAGGGACTAGGAAAAAAGCTCTTGCAAGAAAATATCTTGGGTTAGAGGATCTTCTTTTTGCTGTACCATCCCAAATTTCTCAGGCCAGAAGATTAATATTCCCCTTTCTTTAGAAGAAATTTTAATCTCCCTTCCCCGGCTGATTTGGTCACTGATTTATGAAGGCAAAACCAAAAAAGTTGATAAATTTCAAAATTTACAAAAGAATCATTCATAGTAATTTTTGAAAGTTTAGTGTATATATATATATATATATATATATATATATATATATATTTTTTTTTTTTTTTTCTTATTCAAAGGCATGCATACCTTTGAATAAGATGTGAAAAATGTGGAAAAAGGACCCGGTTAATTAACCTCTTGGTCTATTTTATTCCATTAGTGTAGTCTATGCCCACACTTTGAAGATATGAGTAATTATGAGCATAACTATGATCAAGCTGTACACACAAATTTAATCCTCCTCACCCAATGTGCCTTTTCCTTAGGGGACATTTTATAGAAACACAAAAACAGAGCAGCAAAAACAACTCCACGTGCCCATTGCCCAGCTTCAAAAACCACCCCCTCGCGCCCCGCTGTTCCCCACAGCCCTCCTCCCTCCACCGGCAGCCAGTCCCAGGCAGCAGGCAGTCAGGCCTTGTCTCCAGTGGGGGGCTGATGGCTCTCCCCTGTCCTTGGACCTGGCCCGGGGGCATTGTTAGCACCGGCCAGCGTCTGTCTGTCTGTCTGTCTGTCTGTGGGGTGTGAGGTGCACCTCTGACCACCCCGGGACCCGTGGAGGCGGTGACTGAGCTGTGCCTGCCGTCGGGTTTCCTCAGCTGGACTTCACCCTGCTCCACGGAGTGCTGTTCGTCGCGCTGGTGGTGCTTTTCATCTTCGGAATCCTCTTTATCTTCATACGGTCCTACGTGAGTGGGCCCCGTTCGGAGGACCGTGAGGGATGCAGGGGGAAGGGCTGGTGGGGTCAGGATGGAGCCCCCGAGTGGCAGAGCTGCGGGGAACCCTCCTGGGGGAAATGTCTGTGAGAGAGGAGGGGTGGGGAGCCACGAAGGCAGGGAGAGCTGTCAGACCTGGAGGGCCAATGCGGCCCCAGGTGAGGGGCCGGAAGGGGCTCCGTGGGAGCAGTCCGGACCATGGAAGGTTCGGCACGGCCGCCAGGAGGTCCTGGAGCTCACGCTGGCCGTCCCAGCGCAGTGGGGGGTGGAGTGTGGCCCAGACGTGGGCTGCAGCGGCCCTGGGCAGTGGGTCTGAGGCCCGTCCCAGGGGCTGGCCAGGTGGTTGGGGTCCCATGGACAGGAGGTCTGGACCAGGACGGTGGAGCTCCCACCCTGGACCTCCGCTGTCCGTCCCTGGGGAGGTGGGGAGGACGCCCTCAGGGCAGACCAGACTCTACCTCGTGCTGCTCGTGTGAGGCGATGGCGGAAAGGAACGGGCATCCGAGGACTTTCCCAACAGCGGCCTAGGGGAGCCCCTATTTTTCCCTTTATTCCCTTTTTTGCTTTAAATCTACTCATCAGACAGACAGACAGGCAGAAGGATTAAAGCCAGATGTGACTTTCCTAAAGCTGGGTCCCTGTCTAACAGCAGGGACCCAAGGGCGCCCTTTTGTTACTTCAGATCTTGTTCTTAACATTCAATCCTGTCCTTTCTTCTTGCAGTGGCTGCATCTGCTGTATGCTGGGCTCGGAACTGTGCTCTTCTCCTTTGTAAGTCCCTCTCTCCTTCTCTGGGGCAGAGTCGGGTACATGCATGGAAGGTGCCCGCCTTAGCCTTGGTGCTAAGCGTGGAGTCAAGTGGAGCCAGTAATTCACTGGAAAGCACTCCTGGGGACTTGTTGCTGCTGCTTCTCCTCTTCCTCCTCCTCCTCCTCCTTCTCATCTTCTTCCTCCTCCTCCTCCTCCTCCTCCTCCTCCTCCTCCTCCTCCTCCTCCTCCTCCTCCTCCTCCTCCTCCTCCTTTTTATAAGGATGATTTTTTAGAGCACTTTTAATTTCAGAGCAAAATCAAGAGGAAAACAGAGATTTCCCATATACCTCTGCCCACACATGCATAGCCCCCCCTATTATCAACTACACTCACCTACAGTGAACCTATATTGAGGTGTCGCTATCACCCAAACTCCACAGTTTACATTAGGTTCACTGTGGGTGCACATTCTATGCATTTGGAAAAGTGGATAATAAACGACATGTTCCATCGTTATGGTAGCAATCAGAGCATTGTCACTGCCCTAAATATCCTGTGCTCTGCCTAAAACTTCCTCCCCAGGCTCCAACCTTTGGCAACCACTGACCTCTTTACTGTTTCCAAGTTTTGCCTTTTCCAGGAGTCATAGTTGCAATCTGACTGGCTTCTCTTACCTCGTAATGTGCACTTAAGGTTCCTCTGTGTCTTTTCATGACTTGGGAGCTCATTTCGGTCTGGATGTATCACAGTTTACGTAATCAGCCACCTACTGAAGGACATCTTGGTTGCTCCCAAGTTTTGGCAATTTCGCATGAAGCTGCTCTAAACGTCCACGTGCAGGTTTTTGTATGAACATAAAATTTCAGCTCCTTTGGGTAGATACCAAGGAGTGTGGCTGCTGGATCACACGGTAAAAGTAAAAATCTTCTCCCATGGAATCACATAGGGAGCAGGGAGGGGAAGTGGGGGGAAGGGCCTCAGTGGTCCAGGCCCGTGTCCGCTTTAGCATCCCCCAGCCTCGTGTCTGACTCCCTTCTCTGCCACTCTGATCACTCACGTGACTTTCCCTCATACTATTTTGGAAAAACTAACATCACCACAAAGCTCCAGGAATTCAGAATCATCGCTGTGTGTGAATCTAACTGCTGGGGAACCATTTCATTTTCATTCTTCGTTCAGTGAGAACACAGGGCATTTTGTGGTATCAGTGTGTCCAATATGCCCACCTGGCCCATATCGCTAACTAAAGGCACAAGACTACTGGACTTGGAAGGACAAAGCATTTGCCTTAATGGAGAACAAACCTGTGAACGTTGTAAATGGTGGAGGCTGTAATAACAACATACATAGCCACAAGCCAACTTTCCACAATCATGTGTATTGATGCTGACTTTCCCAGATGATTTAGGACAGTTATTGGGTAGAAATGAACAGGTTAAATAGCTCATTCTTCTTTCTTTTCTTTAAGTACTTGGTGATGGATGTGCAGCTGATGGTTGGGGGGAAACATCATATGAGCCTGGACCCTGAAGAGTATGTGTTTGCTGCTCTGAACATCTACTTGGATATAATCAACATTTTCCTTTTTGTTTTGCAACTGATTGGACGGTAGGCCTCTGGCCAAAGCTGGCTCGTGCTGACCAGAGGGAAGGAGGGCCACCTGCGAAGTGCCGCTAGCTCAGATGTTATTAAAAATATATATATTTTAGAGTACTTATTTTTTTTTCAAATGAAAGCAAACATTCAGTTAATGGTAGCTGTAACTTTAGTTATATATTTTAAGTTCCATTGTTACGGTGCAAAACTTTCTGTGGGACATTTCTGATTTTCATAATTTCAAAAGATGAGTATCAAAATACCATACTTAAACATTTCTTAGAAGCCTGTTATTTTGTTGACGTTTTCCAGGCACTAGTTAAAGCTGTAAACATCTCAATGAATAAAATTGATTACCAAAATCTGTATTTACTCTATTCTCTTCTCTCGATTCGGACATTCTATATATTTCTGCACAGCCTGACTTTAAGAGTAAGGTAAGCCAAAGTACTCGGCCTTTCCTGGATTCCAGAGTCAGATGGAAGAGAACAGGATATTCCCGGTAGGGAGTGGAGAGGATTAATGAAGTTAATGTACATGAAAGGCTGGAGAACACAGTGTTACCTGCCGATGTCACTGTCCCACCTACACTTTTGGGCTCAACTCAGAGACCACCTCCCCTGGTTGTCTGGGACAACTGGCCTCCTTTGAAGTCCCATAATATATCAAAATTTCAATTTTAATTGTGATAAAATACACATAACAAAATTTATCATCTTAACCATTTTCAAGTGTATACTTCAATAGCAGTAAGTACATTCGCATTATTGTGCAACCAATCTCCAGAATTTTTCCACCTTGCAAAACTGAAACTCCATCCCATTAAACAACAAGAAGTCATGCATTTTGCACTGACTTATTTAGTCACACACCTCTTATTTGATTAACCCATTTGATTATGTCCCCAAGGGACACAGACCGGACAGATCTTCACATCCTGGGTGAACTGTGCAGCGGGGAGGATGGGGAAATTAGATGGACTCTTCTGGTCTCTAGAATTATTCACAAGTGCTCAACTTCTAGATTGAACTAAACTTACAGGTCTCAAGGAGGACATTTGAAGTATAAGCACTGTAGTCACACACACCTATTTGATCACCTGGAATCTCAGATTAGCCCTATCCTCCGCAACTTTGGTAGAGCTGCTCATTGTTTTTAATCTCGTTACTGCCAGCAAAGTCCTGAAGATGGGCGTAACCTCTGAAAAGTGAGCATGTAGAAGAGAAAGGGACATGAAAGTCTTCCAGAAAAAAATCAGGGTGGTCCCTTCCTAGTCTGGATAGTTTGACAAGTATTACTGTGTCCGTACCTGTTACAGGCTTTGCTACCAGTCATGGTGAGTTAAGTCCACACAAGAAAGCAAATGCAGCTGGAAAGCCTCAGGTTTTGCATATCCTCCTGGCATCAAGAAAACCTTCCAGCATATAATAAGGAATGCTGGCAGATTTTTTTCTCTACCAAAGTTTCTGATGACCCAGCAACCTCAGCAGGCGTTTCTGTTGCCTCAACAATGTCCCCAACCACATAGTCATTGTGTGCATCTCCTGTGTGTGCCATTCCACAGTGGTGATGACTCAATTTAAAGAAGTTCTAATGCTTCTATGACAATCTTTTCATTTCTGCATTTAGTAAAGACTGAGCAGGACACACCTCTTAAGGTGAATCAAATAAGTAGACTAATTTGTTCTCAGTATTAGAAATTCATCTTTTGCAGGTTTGGCTCAGCAGATGAGTGTCAGCTTGCAGAATGAAGGGCTCCGGATTTGATTCCAGTCAAGGGCATGTATCTTAGTTGCAGGCTTGACCCCTGGCCCTGGTAGGAGCACATGCAAGAGACAATCAATTGACGCCTCTCTCTCATAATTGATCTTGCTCTCTCTCCCCCCTTCTCCCTTCCTCTCTGAAATCAACTATATATAAAATTTGTGCAAGAGGCCTTCCCTCCTCCGGTGCCCGCAGGCACCTGAGACCCAGGCTGGCTTCCCTCTGGCTCCAGCTTCGTCAGGAAGGACATCTGGAATGCCTGGTCTAATTAGCATATATAGTAATATGCTATATATGCTAATGTAGAAGAGTCCACAATCTGAACATCTGGCAAGAATGATCCTAAACCCATCTACAAATCAACTTAAGGTGTCCCATCATGGGACAATGGAAGCTTATAGGAAAACCCATAGGATTCAGGCTACACTTTCTATAATGCCCACAAATTTGGGACCTGTAACTTACTTTTAACTTTCTTTTTTTAAAAAAAATATATATTTTATTGATTTTACACAGAGAGGAATTGAGAGGGATAGAGAGTTAGAAACATCAACCAGCTGCCTCTTGCACACCCCCTACTGGGGATGTGCCCGCAACCAAGGTACATGCTCTTGACCGGAATCGAACACCGGGACCTTTCAGTCCACAGGCCGACGCTCTATCCACTGAGCCAAACCGGTCTCGGCTTACTTTTAACTTTTGTTCTTTATATTATCCCAAATGGGCACCCCCACTTCTAGCCCCAGACATGGTTTGATAAGCACATCTATCTATACAGAAGTGACCTTGTGAAACCACGCATGTGAAGGGCTAGTGCAGTCGGCCTGTCCTAGCGTGCCATGCGCCACTCACAGGCTCAGAGTGTCAGCGCCAAAGTGCTGTGGCATATATTTGACATTACTGCCAAGAACGGATGTTGGCAGTTTATCATTTGCTTAATCAAAGTCCTTGAGACAAATGAAACTGCTGAAGATCTCAACGGTCCCCAGGTTGTAGCACTGCCGACAGCTCACAATGTACTAAGATATAATATTTGCCTGATTGTTGTTCTGGAGCAGGGGTAGCAAACTATAGTCCGCATGCCAAATCTGGCTTATCTTAAAAATAAAAAGCCCAAAACACACCAACTTTTTATTTTGAAATATAGATTTACAGGAAGTTGCAAAGATAACTGAGGCTCTGTGTTTCAGGTAGGCTCCAGGAACTGCTGACTCCTGGTCAGGAACACATTCCTTCATCTGCTCGCCTGCAGGAGTGAGCAGCAACCAAAGCACCCCTGACAGTTTGTTTCAATCCTACCTCTTATCCCTCAGCCTGTCAACATCAGTTCAACTCCTGTTCAGTAACAGGAAGGACAGCAGGAACCCTTCATCTGCCCCACCCCTAATCTCTCACTTGGGTGAGTGTTCACTACCACACAGATTCCAGGGAGTCTTATATTCCCAAACAAGGCCCAGTTCCTCTTGCAGAAAATCATGTCTGTCAGCATCCCATCCTTATTGTCAAACTGTGGGGTCTGCGACTTCCTTTTACCTGCTCACAGACCAGGAAGTCAGCCTGTCACAGTTCCACGGCTGCTGACAGGACGAGATCGGGGGTCAGAGGGAAAGCACTCACAGCACAGCATGCAGAATGAACATCAGCACATTTGTGTCAGCTTCCTTGACCAGTTCCATAGGAGCAACATCGCAGGCCCGTAGCCACAGGCACATTTATTTAAGCACGCAGTGGGTGTGCTGCAGCTGAGCTAGGGGTCAGGACAGCGACGCCCTGACAGCAAGCCTGTCGCTTAAGGTCTTTGGCTGCACGAATGGCCCAGGCGGTTTTGTCAGGCACACCCAACAAGATGTGTGGGTGCACAGGACTGGACTGTTTTGTCCAGCAGTTATCCTTTTCTATATTGTGCTTTGTTCGCTCTTTCATAAATCTCCTTCTCAGCAGTCCGTAAACTGGTGCCTCGTGCAGGCTGGTCTCAGCCAGTCTGTAAACTGTCCCTTGTGCAAATAGCTGGTTAAAAGGTAACATACAGCTTGCTCACAAACATTTTCAAAGATAGAGGACGAATAATTCCTTCAGGTTTGGCCACACTCAGTTTGTCATCCATCTGTCAGTCCTAGTGGAACAGAGAGCCAAAGCAAGCTTTTCTGGCCATCTTTCTTTAAGAAGTATGACTACCGCAATTCCTAAGATAAGAACAGCCATGTCATCGTCTAGAAAAGTCCACTTACATCTTTCTAGAAAGAAATCTACTCTTCTGAGATATAAAATGCTCACTGTAAAAAATATCAGGCACTGATTGATTACATGTAAGAATCAAACTAGTCCCATCATATTCAAAGGAATTTAACTGGAAGAAGATCAGCTTCCTGACTTGGTTAAAACAGAGTCTATAATGTAATAAGACCAAAGTGAAGTAGTTTAAGTAATAAATGTTTAATCAAAGAATTTTACATATTATTAACAGCATTCATTTGGCCAAACATCTACACGGTTGTAGAATCCTATTGTATATAAAGGGGGAATGTATCAAGTATAGACTATGAAAGTGCAAATAACAATTCAAGGTTAGAGTAATTTTTTTTACATTATAAAATTAACGTGTTTACAAAATAGGCTTTGCCAAACTTTATTTCTGAACTGTAAAGTCAATGACTGTGTTGTTTTTAAAATATGTACCAAGGAAGTACAAACTGGATAATGATCTTTTCTCATGCTCAGGAGAGAACAGCACAGGAACAAGGCTACTCACTGCGCCAGGTGCCCGGCGCCAGCCTCACCAGGGACATGCGCTCCCAGCCCCACACAGCGCTCCCACACTCTGCGAGACACCTCCATAGGATACAGAGACTTTCTTCTGAGAATATTACCACTTGGTCTAAAAACTGATCGGTGTTGATATTTTTAATCCAAAATAAATTTGTAAAAAAAATCCTGTAATGGAATATTTCAGTTTAATAGTAATACACTGTAGAAAAAAGTTAATATTTATCCCAACAAATTAGTAAGGGTTGATATCAATGTTTCTGATAATTGGGGAAATAAAAACTAATGTGGACTTGTGACATCCAAAGCATAGGGACAATTCCTACATAGTTTCTTTTTAATCCCAGGAAAATCTGAGGAATATTAAATAATATAATGTCCTAGGTCACATGAATCCCAAATATAAGACTATTTCAAAAATAGGGTTTAGAAAATAAAATGTAATAAAAAAACATAATTACAACTCATGTGGATATCAATACTAATACAACCTTTCACCCAGTTCAGGACTTGCCTGTACAAACTCAGTACTGAAATTTTGGTAATTGTAGACTTCTGGTAAAAATCTGGCAAAACATTAAATGGAGTGTTGGCTAACTACTTTGCTTATGTTATGCTAGTTTGGGTAATATGTAAGTAAAAGAGCCATTCCAATAGTTTACTCTAGTTTTAATTACACACTGTACCATTGAATCTTAATTACAAGTAAGATCAGTATTTTCTTCACAGTAAGACACTGATAACCAGGAAATTGATTTTTTCAACACTGAACAGTAGTCACACAGCAAATGAGTATTGTGCAACAGAACAAACACATCAGCATT